AACCTTTTATCACAGTGGACTTTGACATAAGCTTGTATTTCTACCCCAAGTGTGTGAGGTAGAAATAGATGTGAAGATCTAACAATCATAATTTGTGAATATGGCCTTAAACAAGGGAAGACTGAAGTGTGAAAAAAGGATGTCTGTTCCAGTTCTGTGAAATTCTAGGTTAAAGAACTAAATTTCTGTCAGATTGTAAAATTTGTTACTGTCTCAAATTCCTTGCTACTCTGTGCCAGGTATTCCTCTAGGGGACTGGGGCCGTCTGGAGATGCTGCCTGTGGCCGTAGTCTGGAGATGCTGCCTGTGGCATGTGCCCACCTCAGTGTCCTGTACATACTAAGCCTGTGATAGATGTTTGCTGCTGAATAAAGTTTAGGGGCAGGTCTGTCCTGTTAAACAGATTAGTAAGTTCCTCATATGGGATCCTTACTATTAACTTTATTAAGTGAGCCTTGTTTGGAGAGAGCTGCTAAAGACAACTTGAAAGTCATTTTTTCAGTCTTACAACTGCAGGTTGTTTTTTGTTTTGTTTTTCTTTAACAAGAGAAACCACTAAGTAGATTGCATTTTTGTATTCGAGCTTGCTGGTACATTCTCTTAAAAATTAAAATAGCTGGAAAATTCTAACCTTGGAAGGCTCTGCTGTGTCATTCATATACCCTGTTAGAAACACATAGAGCTAGGTGTAAGCAAAAGGAGAAAATTCTACTTTTACCAAACACTTTGATGAAGAGGCTGTCTTTTGTCAGAGGGCTGAGTTGGCATGGTAAGAATGCTGACAATGATCTCTGTGGGTATGAGCCTTTTTGGGACAGCAGGAGCCTTCCTGCAGGTAATGATGGTGCTTGCTTTGAATGTGCCCCTGAGAACAACACAGAGACTTCAGAGACTGGGTTTTCTTTTAGACCAACTAACTATTGTAATTGTAGTTTGGTAGCCATGCAAGTTTAGAATTCAGACATCTCCTATGTGGATCAGCAAATCCTTAGTTTGCTGGAAATCTTAAGTTTGAAGGAATCCTTTCTATTTCTTTTTAAGTACATTTTTCATGTGTGGCTAATTTGCTGAATCACTGTTTGGAAGATCATTAAAACTGACACCATCATGTTTCTTAATGTTTATGTTAAGGTTTTTTGCTTTCCCAATTATAGTAACGTTGGCAACAGGAGTTACACAAAAGCATCACCAAATGACGCATTTGACTTTGTAATAGGAAAAACTTTCAGCCTTAACATTACTGAATTACTGCTATAGGCTACAGACTTTATCTATCTATCTATCTATCTATCTATCTATCTATCTATCTATCTATCTATCTATCTATCTATCTATAGACTACTTAAGAATATACTGTCCTTGCATTGCTTGGGGGGAAATTTTTATTATTTTAAATTAAGAGAAATTGTAGTGGAATTTAAAGGTTTCTGAATTCTGCAAGAAAAATTGTTATTAAAAACTGGCTGGTACAGCTAATTTGCCTGATGTAGGACTAAATAGTACCTGTTTAAAGCTAATAGTTTACACTGCCAAAACAATTATTACCACTTGCAAGGACTGATTATTGAAAGAATATTAACCATATGAAGGTATTGATTGCAGTTCTCAAGGCTGCAATAAATCTGGCATTTTTAGTAACTACCTTGGTTAATTCAATAGAATTTAGAACACTTTTTAAGAGGGGCAAAGAAGTGTATAAGGCTTCAAAACCTTGTTTCCTTTTTTTTTTTTGTGCCTTAATTAAAAAAAATAGAAAGGACATTGAATATTCTCCCATTCCCCCCACTAATGATTTTTAAAACCTTTGTGGGCTTACTGCCAGCTTTTGGCTGCTTTTGGTTATGGAAGCCAGATGCTACACAACAGGAAATGAACTTTTTTTTTAAGCCAAAAAAAAAAAGTGTCTTTAAACTAACAGATGAAGTAACGTCCTATTATACAGTGTGACTTCACTGGTACTTTCTTGTAGTTGAGACTTGTCTTGCCAGAATTCCACCCTAAAAATCCTATGAAATATTTAGGAGGCTGACTTCAGGTTACTGAACCAGGTGGTGGCTTTGTTTTACTGGAAATAAGGACTGAGATAAGGACACATCTCAAGTTCTTGTCTATTTGTTGGAGAGTGCTATACTTGGCTCTCTTTCTACAGAGCAGGGTTGCTACTGGCTATATATTAGGTAATAGAAGAGTTTTCACAACTGAATAAAAAGAGTTGTAATGTCTCAAGTTAGTCTTGATTCTGTCAGCGGTTTCAGCTCAGGTTTTGGTTGCTACTTAATAATATCTTTGGTGTGTGGTATGGTCCTTCCTAGAGAGGAGTTACCACTTGACAACTTGCCAGCAGAGACTAATGTTGGGTAATGTTTATATCCTTTGTCTCTAATACGGGGGACTTTTGTGTGGGGCTGTGCATACATAGTGCACACTCTTGAGTACACACCTGTGATTTCAGGAACACCTTCGGCCACACATGGTTCCTTTTCACTTACTGAGAGCAGACACTAACTTGCCTGGGCTGGTTGCACTGCTTACCGCAGGGCAGGCAGTTAAAGCCCGAACAGCCCAGCTCTGAGGTTCTCACTGGCATCTGTGAAAACAAGCGAAATGAAGAATCTGAACTAGGGAAATTTCTGCTGTCTAAACCTAAAAGGAGTGAGTGCAGCCCTGTAGTAGACGAGAACCGGAGAAGGGGATGATGGAGAGAACTGCTGTTAGAGTGAGAGTTGGAACCTGCTGGACAGCAGTCACTGTTCTGTGTGGCACCACACAGAGGTGGAGAGGTCAGGTAGCACCTGTGTTTAGGCTGTCTCTTCTGAAAACCTGGGCGTGAGGCTGTACTTTGTGAATCCAAGATGTTACTTTATGTATTTTTTTTATCTGAAGTCTGAAATACTTTAGTAGACATTGTTAATATTTAAGTGTCTAGAATGTATTTTGACACTTTTCTATCAATAATATAGCTTTATTTAAAATGAATGTAAAATGTTTTAAAATGAGTGTGTAAACATCTTATGTGATAGATTTCTCTGCTTTGTTTTTTCCTAATGGAAAAAACCTGCCCAGTGCCATTTATGCATTTGATTGGATAATACCAGGTAACAAAATTGTTCTTTTTCTGTTAACCACTTATTCTAGGTTAAGGGCAGTAATGAATAAATATTAAACTGCATTTGCCTACCAGTAAAATCTAATATAAAAATCTTAGTAAGTGTTCCCAGTCTTCATAATAAATATTTTTAATAATATTAAGTGCAATGACTTTCCATCATATTTAGACAAAAATTCAAAGTTTAGCATGGCCTATTAAAAAACCCTGTATGGACTGATACCTGTCACCCCCATTTTCATCTCAGACAGTTATCCCCTTCATATTCACACCACACTGGCTTTTTGTCAGGTTGTAGAATCTGCCAAGTTCTTTCCTGTCTCAAGGCCTTTGCTGGGTTTTAAGTGGTAAGATCATCATCCTTCAAGCTTTAACTAAAACACCCGCTCAGACTTTCCTTGTGACTGCCCTTTCTAAAGTAGGTCCTTTGTTCATTACCACAAGTAGTTATTTTTCCTTTTCTCTCTCACACCCCACATCTAACTGGTTAACACATCCTGTTAGCTCTACTTTCAAAGCATAGAGTCTAGCTTCTTCTCTCCAGCCTCCTCTCTGCCACTCCAGTCTGCCATTCACATTATTCACCCAGATAACTGCACTGTCCTCCCCAATGCCTCCTACCTTCGCTGAGCAAACTCAAAATTGCTCACTGTATTTCCCACTTTTATCAAAGGATCTCCACAGAATTTACTCTGCAGATATGTACTTCAGCTTCCTATGTTAGAACTAGAGCTCTTTTTCGTATCATTAAATTTTTATTTCTGCGATTGCTTATAATCAGACAAGTTCTATCTTACAAGCATATATGTCTAAGAAGAGAGAGTTGAAAAATGAGTTTTAAAATAGAAATAGGAATCTGTGCTAAATGAAAGAATGAGCTGACAGGTAATTACTTCTTGCTGCCTTGCCTTTCTGGCTCTTGGAGACAGACATGAAGAATAGAAAAATGAGAGCAATCTGGAGGAATGTTCTTATTATTGATACACTTTTCCTGACGTAATAATAGCCTTTTAGGAAGCCAGGAACAGTAACAGCAAACTGCTACGACAGTTAACATTCTCAACAACCAGATTTCATGGGAACTTTAGAGACTGTTGAAAGATCTGCCATACTTTTTATTCAGTGGTCCATCCAAAAAAGGGAAATGATCAAAATATGAATTAGTCTAGCCCATGAGCAAAAGATGGTTTTAGATGTCACTGTACTGAGTGATCATTCCTGAACTAATGCGGACCTCCATAAAGTAGACCGCTCTATCTCACATCTTACTGTGTAAAAGGTCTGTAAGAGGTATATGTTACTTAGTACAAGGCTCCAGTTCAATTGCACTTCTCTTCTCTTCTGTGCCATTACACCTCCCATTGGGATCTGACATAAACTCTGTACTTATAAGCGCTCACTTGGAAAGTAAAGCAATGTATAACAGAACCAACTTTACCACAGGCTAACTGCTTACATATTAGTTCAGTCACAAAAATCACCAAACTTCACTACAACCCAAAACACTTCTGTGATGAATAGCATTTGTAGTCGTTCACTCGTTCATTTTCCAACCTGCTTATTGCAGCTCAGGGTCGCAGGTGACCAGAGCCAATCCTGGCAGCTCCGAGCACCAGGCAGCTCCTCCCCAGCCCTGACGGGACACTCTCCCATTGCAGGGTGCACGCACACCCACGCCCGTGCCCTTCATGTGCACACCTTGGGGGGATGTGGGGAGCAAACCCTGGTGGATATGGTGACAATGTGCAGACTCCCTGCAGACGGCATGTCAGGCTGGGGACTGCTTTATTCGTTACTCGAAAATCTGTTATGCTGGATTGTGTCTTGGTTCATTCTAACTTTAAAAGGGGTAGGCTACATAAAATATTGAATGAGATCATTTGATTATTCTAAGATTCACTTGTTGTGCTAGATCTCCAACTTGCTGCTGAGCTTGGGAAGACATTGCTGGACCGGAATACGGAACTGGAGAATTCTCTTCAGCAGATGTACACAACCAATCAGGAGCAGTTACAGGAAATTGAGGTAACACGTTCAACAGGAGAGTTAGCCTTGGGATGTGACATGGACTGCTGTCGTGCCAGTCACATCCTGCTAAAATAACACTAATAATAAAGAAACATTTAATTTCTAATGAAGATTCTGCATGAGAATAAGAGCCATTGGCAAAGGTGGGAGGTTGATTTCTACCTTCTTTAGGCTTTCCAACACATAGTCTGCTCTGATGAAAGCGATTTCCTTCTTCTCCCTTAGTGAAATGTACTGGAAGTAGATGGCCCTATATTTGCAAGTATGTGAAACTAAAGTTTTCACTTTTTTCTTAGAAAGATGAATTATGCAGAGGCTTAGGATGATAATAATAATAATAATAATGATAATGATAATGTAATAACACTACCCAGTTTAAGAAAACTACCCACACTCTTACATCCCTCTTTATAAACCTTCCTTGGCTGCATTTCCCTCCATCCTAAATTTATAGCTAGATAAAAATCTTTAAATCTTACTATTTTATTTCATAATGCATTTAAATTCCTTGTGCCAAATAATTTAAAACTAGGCGTTTATTTCTCCCTGCTGTCATTTATTTTACATATTTAGTAGGTTTATTAAATACTGTTTTCTTAGTTTAAAAACTGAAATAAAAGATGCTAAAGGTTCTAAAACGAAAAGTGCTGTCTTGTGATACTGTTCAAGTAACCCAGTATGTATAGACCACATAACTGCGAAGATGATAATTATGGATATTAACCAATGGGCCCCCCCACACCAAAGACTTGTTCCTGAATGTCTTATTGCCATAACAAGTTACAGTTTGGAGGACTTTTATCCCCACAACTCTTCCCTCTCAAATTGGAATAGTTAAACCAGAACATTTGAATCTACATGCAGAAAAAAATAACAAAAGATCCTAGAACTGCTAAGCAATTCATTATGATCAGAACTTACTGAGCACTAATTACATACTGAACCAGGTGCCGGAAGAAAGTAGAATTACTCAGTCCTTAATGTCTAAGTAAATCTTTAATCATTTTCTGTAAGGTCTTCTATCTACTTGGTTAGCTTCATTCATTCATTTCTTTTAAAAGCAACTGTGAATGAAATTAATTTTTCCTGTTTTTTTATATGAAAATTTTATGATTTATGTATATTGATGATATGACCTGCCTTTTTGCTGTTTCTAACAGCGTAGGTCTTTGAGTCTTATATATAATATAAATCTTTGGGTTTTATATATAATAATCCTATCATCTGTAAAGAAAGATAGTTTTCACTTATTTCTGGACCAGGATTCCTTTTATTTCCTGTTGTTATTTGATTAACATAGAGGTTGCCAAAACCTAAGAATGCAGGAAATACACAATTTTTAAGCTATTGAACTGTAACACCATATCTGCTTTGTTTCACAGAAGTGTTTTTCTTCAGCTCATTGGAAAATTTCATAGTGTGCCTGGGGCATGTGCATGAAGATGGTCATATAGTATGATTAACACTTATTTGGATTTGGATAACAACATAATCTTAATACATACATCATGTTGATAGTTCTATAAAAGAGGATCCAGAGCACTATAAGTGAGCATTATAACTGATACATATCTCAGCACTTAAATACAGATAAAGAGAGTCCAAATACTGTGTAATTACTAGATTGTCTATTTTAGCGTAGGAGGTTACAAACACAGTTGCTTTCTAATCTGAATTACTTGTCTTTCTACCTTTTTCTTTTTATAGAAGAGCGTTATCAGCTCTTCTAATCCCCGCTAACCAGCATTCTAATGACCCCGCTTAGTTTAGTCTGTTATTGAACTTTACATGAGCCTGTTCATTGGGAATTTTCCTGATTGGAGAAGTAGTGCACGGTCATTTTTTTTTTCTTTTTAAATTTGGAAAGTTATATAGTTGAAAAACAAAAAGTCAGTTTTTATCCTATTACCTAGAAAAGTTTAAAATGAGACATTCCAGAAAAACAATCCTGGAGCAAATTACTCAAGAGTGGATGAAAAACAATATATAACTGGTGAAAATATTAGGAAAAAAATCCCTCAAACTGTGACTTGTTATGGAAATAGATATCCAGGAAATTGTCAAAGGGTATTTTGTAAGTAGACTACAAATATTCTTTTCAAGATTGTCAATGGGTTTTGAATATTCCTCATGAAAATTGATCAGTGTTTATTTAGGTATAATTCTTAATGTGAAAAGAAACGAAAACATTAAACTATTAAAAGTGACGATTCCACTGGCATCGGAGACAATACTATAGCATCAATGACTTTTATCTGGTGTTAGTCTGAGCATTTAAATGTTCAAAATTGTGGAGTTTTTCCCTCCTGGATGAAGAGGAGCTTCAGTGGTTAGTGAGATTTGATACAATGGAATTCCTTTAAATTTTTCTACAATCATAAAAGCCACCTACAAATTTTATTGTTTCTCTGTCTGGAAACCTGTGTTGTCTGAACCAGGGAATCCTGATTCAGAAACAAGTAAAAACTTCTTCACAGATGATGGGATATTATATATAAACCCAAAAACTAATATTATATATAAGACTCAAAGACCCATTAACGCTATTGGAAACAGCAAAAAGGCAGGTCCTAAGAGGTAACATCACATCATCAATATACATAAATCAGAATGTTTATATACAAAAATTTAACAGGAAAAAAAATCAAGAAAATAATTTCATTCAGTGTGTCTACCACTAAAAGTATTGATAGTTTGGTTTCCAGTTTTCCCCTTTCAAGGCTGCGTGCCTTTGTGTTTCCTTCAGTACACCTAACACTAATTTATTAGATATTTATTTCTTGACTTGTTTTATTTTCCTTCCCTCTACTTTCCATTGCAGCATTGAAAACTCATGCTGTGTTTATTCATAGTTTTAGGCACCATGTGGTAGCTCATAGATAAATACTTGAAATCAATATCTTAACAGAGCACAGATAAACAGTTTCAGAAAACACACCCAGTAATTCCTAAATTGTATGTTTCACCTCTCAAGGTTTTTCAAGGAAGAGATTTTTTTTTTCCAGGAAGAGATTTTTTAAGGATCTCTGGCCTCAGTGCGAGAAGATTCAGGTTTAAGACCTCAACTCATAGCAACTAGCTGGATACCTCAGGCACGCAAATTACCTCTTAGGTCCTGTGCATGGGCTGTGTGTTGGAGATAAGAATGCTTACACTACACAGGACAGGGTTGTTCTTAGGAGATTATGTAAGTGTGTATGTTTTGGACAGTATAAATTGTTGTGCAGTTTATCCATTTAAGAACTTTAGTAATGAAAGAATTTTAATTATGAGGGGAAGAATTTTTTTCAAGTACTGGAAAATACATACTAAAAAGAAGCTAGGCTTTTAATAGTGAGCTTATGGATGGATTTTATTTTCAGTCATGCTTCCCCTCTCCTTGCTAAATTTCCTAAAGGGAAATATGATATTTTAATCAGGGGCAAGAGATATTTCTAAGGTAATAGGAAATATTTATTTAGTATTGTGGAAGGTCATTTTGCTACTAAATTCAGAGGATTTGGACTCTAATCCTTAATATAAGAATAATCCCAACACTTTATAAAAGCCAAGTTTCCATTCCATTTATTATTTTAAGTTTGGGCTGTATCCTTTTTCCTGTGTGGGCTTCTGTAGTTGCACATAGTGTTAGTATATTGCTGTGGGGTGTTTTGTTTTTATTCTCTGCAAAAACTTGCATCTGTTGGGAAGGTGGCCTGTTTATTTATGGCTTTTTGCTGAGGCTTGTGCTCATAGTTGAGGTGAATGTTCTTTGCAAATTCCAAGCCAGGCGTGGGAGAACCCATAGCATTTAACTTAATACTTTTGCCTGTAAGTTGGTGATTTTTGCTTTCCCATGTGTAACATGGCAAATGCTTTTGAATTTGAATCCTTTTTGGCATTTTGATTTTTTATTTTATTTTATTTTTTCGATTTATTATTTTTGTGTGGGTATTGAACTGGGGTCCAGGCCAGAGGTGCAGAGGCAGTGAGAGGATTCAACAGAGACAGAGCAGGGAGCAAAATAGGCAGATGTACTGAAATAACATTGCTGAGGGGGGCAGTTAGTGAGACAGTGAGGTCCACCTAGCTATATGTGTGTAGGCTCCCAGGCTAGGCTAGAACTCTGGACCCAGGAGTGACAGTGCTGAGACTTAACCCTTAGGCCACCAGGGAGGCCCCTGTACTTGAATTTTAGAACCTGGGCAGGCCAGTTAGATTCATCTGAGGCTGTGTACTAACAATTGTGAACTGAACTTTAGAGGTATTTCTTCTTTTAATTCAAAAATTAAACTTAATTTTTAATGAAGTACCTTGTTAACGCTTGGCAATATAGGATTTCCCCCCTCAGGTGTGTTCATTGTAGTTCTCTGACTACCAAAGCACCAGAGCTCATCGCCATAGTTCCATGTGCTCTTCCCCCTTCCCCCATTTTCACCCCTTTGACTGTACCACCCCTTCCTCCCTTCCTGGATACCTCAGATCTACTGTTGAACTGCAAGATTTGTCTTTGTCCAGCCAAAAGGCTGTCTCGTATTTATCTTTCTCCTTCTAATTCATTTTGCTTAGCATAATCCCTTCCAGCTCCATCCTCATGGCCATAAATGATAAGCATTTATCTTCTTTGATTGCTCAGTAGTATTCCATTGTGTATGTGAGCTACATCTTGAACTGTTCATCTGTTTCGGGGCATTTAGGTTGTTTCTATATCTTGGCTATTGTAAATAGTGCTGCAGTGAAAATAAAAATTCAGGTTTCCTTTCAAATTGTAGTATTTGTATTCTTTGGGTAGACTCCTAGGAGTGGAATTGCTGGATTGTATGGCAGATCCCATTTTTAGTGTTTTGAAGAACCTCTACCCAGCTTTCCATAGCCGTAGGGCCGGTCTACATTCCCACCAGCAGTGTAAGAGTCCCTTTTTCTCCACACCCTCACTAGCGATTCTTGTTTCTGGTTTTTTAAAATATGTGAGATGGTGTCTCATTTGGTTGCATTTCCCTGGTTGCATGTAATTTGCATTTCCCTGATTAGAATGAACATACAAGGCTATACATGACAAACCAACAGACGGCATCCTCCTTATGCTGAAAAACTGAAAGCCTTTCCACTAAGATCCAGTGTAAGAAGAGGATGCTGCTTTCACGACTATTCTAGAGCAGTTTAGAATCCAAATTGGAATCCAAATTGGGAAAGTAGAATTATAAAGCTATCATTATTTACTTTATAATAATAAAACAAATACATATACTATATAGAGAATCCTAAAAAATCCATAGGAAAACAAATTAAAACAATAAACCCATTCAGCGTAGTGGCAGGTTACAAAATAAAAAATCAGTTGCTTTCTTATATGCAGTCATACCAAAAAATAAATAAATAAATAAATAAATAGCTGGGAATAAACCTAACAAAGGTGGTGAAAAAAGAATATCTTTGAAAGAAAACAAACATGGCTATTTCCTTCTAGATCAGAAAAAAGTTGATAGATATAGATTTGAACTTCCAGAGGCTCAGCCCTACAGCAGTATCTGACTGTACAGTGTTCTTACTGTGTAGTCTTAATCAGCACTTGCAGAGAGCTCTAATAATTTTTTCTTAAGTTGCTGACCAGTTTAGTCAGACTCCTTTGTTAGCAGAGTCAAAGTCTTGGAGAAGTGAAGGACTTTTCTGATTAGTTTTGATCTTAAGAAGATTAAACTCCTACCATGTGAAAATAAATTCTTTATTCTTTAGCTAGTCCTTAAAACCAAGTTCTCTAAGACAAAAATATCTCTCTAAATGGTTTCATTGTATTTTTACCACAAGTTATTATATCAGATGAGGGGCACTTTCTGTAGTTTTTAAAATATGCTTATTTGCATTTTGGCTTTTTTTTATTGGCCATTAACTATAATTTGAATATTCTATCTTTAAAAAGGGACATCTTGGAACTCAAATAATACCTGAATTGTACATGTCTTTCAGATTACCGGGGAGCATAGGTGCCTTGGGAATAAATACAGAGGATATTTGTATAAAGGCCACAGGAAAGGAGAGAATTAGTGACTAATTAGGGCCTTTCCCCTTGAGGGCTATCATCAATGCCCTTCTTACAATTTCTCAATAAACTCAGCATTATAGTAAGTGAGTTTCGATACAGGCTGTTGTGAATAGAGGTCTAGAAACTATTGTTTAACCAACATTCTTTTAGTCCCTGTGAGTAAGGAATGATAATAAGTGGACTGGATACAGAAGGCTAGAGAGCCTCTACCACATTAACAGACAATTCAGTTGTTAACTATGGTGTTGAGTATTTTTAGGAATATCACTGATGAGAGGGCCTCGAGGGAGAGGCGCTGCTCTGGGCAGGATGCTCTGCAAGGCTTCTAAGGTTTTGCTTGCACTGAGGCCTAAAGGCTATATGCCCTGGATCCTGTCTCCAGTACAGGAGATACAAAGAATGACCCAGGGACTCTGTTATATCAAAGTATCTACCAAAATATTTAAAAGTTAGTGAAAATGAAGATGTAACTTTTCCTTCGAGTTGTCAGATCCTGTCAAGTCTATCAGCAGCTGGATTAGGTGGAATAAGCCAGGAAAAGGGTAGGGAGGAGGGGGGAGCAACAGGGTAAAGACCCTAAAGAAAGGGGGGCAGGTACCTTGCCTTAGAGTGAGGCAACTCCAAAATCTTAAGGTACCTCTGAGTGTGAAATAAGGAAGAATCAGTTGCTAAAAAGTGTAGCTGGGAAAACCCATTTAAGAGACAGTCGGGAAATTAACACTGAAACATATATAACACGAAAGGATTATTGGGTTTATCTTAGGTATGACTGAAATTATGATTAAGATGAAAAGTCTTGTATTTTAGAAATATATGTATACTTGAATTAAGATATCTTGGGTTTGCTTTAAAATGATTGGAGTTGAATGTAGAAAATTAAGAAATGAAACAAGACTATGTGTTGATATTCAAATTGGATTATAGTAGATTGGGTATCCATTAAGCCATTTTCTCTGCACTTATATATGTTTGAAATGATCATAACAAAGATTTGAAAATGTAATAGGTAAGAGTTAGTGGTACAGAGAGAGTCCAAAATTGGGTAGACTGAGAATTTAGAGAAGAGCACTCAAGGTTAAGTAACTGGTACTTAACCTTCCCTGTAAGTAACTGGTACTTACAGGGAATTATGATTACAAGAACTTAGAAAACATAATACAATAAAAAAAAAGTGTTGCTGTGATCTAGTTAAATATAGCCAAATCTTCATAACTAGCTAACCTAAGTCCTAAGACGGTAAATGATATTTAGATTTAGAATGATTGTTAACCAAAGAGAAGGAAACACGGGGCTGGAAGAAGGAACTTCCAGAATTTTCTGTGTCCAAAAATCAACATTTCTCTAGGTCCACTGACTACTCTGATAGCAATCTGAAAAACTGGTCTCAAGTCTCAAGAATTAGTATTTCAGGGGGAAGGGCCCCAGGTTCCTATGTTGTAATAAATTCCCCAGGTGAATCTTAGCATTTGTGAAAATTACAAGTTTGAAAATTACAACTGTAGACAAAGATAATATCTCTTCACTGAACAGTTTTACCACATGCCAGATACCATTCTCAGTCCTTTACATGTATTAATTTTCATAGCAACCTTATGAGAGGTAGGTGATGAGAAATGTCATTTTAGAAAAAGGTGCTTCGGCCCTCCCTGGTGGTGCAGCAGGGTAAAGCACTGCATTGAGAAGCTAAAGCCACTTCCCAGGAGTTCGATCCCCGCCTGCCCCGGAGGTGACCACATGGCGTGGCAGACCTCTCCTGACCCGCCCGCTGCTCCCCTCAGCAGTGTACTTCGTGGATCTGCCTGTTCTGCTCCCCACTCTGTCTCTGGTGAATCCTCTCACCACCCCTGCACCTCTGGCCTGTACCCAGTTCTGTATGCACAAATAAATACATCTTTAAAAAAAAAAAGAAAGAAAAAGGTGCTTCCTGAAAGTCACCAATTATATATGACAAAGCAAACCAAATTATGACCTAACATTCACATCCTTAGCTAAAATCCCAATGCCTTCCATCAGTGGTAGGCTTCCTCTGGCTCCAGCCCACCAGAAGGCTGGTGAGGAAACTGGCCTCTCATGGGACAGGTAGGTCTCAGTGAGGAAGTGACTTCTGGTCACTGGGCAGATACAACTCCTGTTGTAACAGTAATTAGGTTCTTGTCTGTGCACTGGCCTTCTAAAGGTTGCCGTAGCTCAATCCCAAAGAATACTTGAGACCTTATACTGGATAGAATGTGATTTACAACATTTCTGCAGCTGATATATATCTATATATATTCCTGTGATTCTAACCTTTACCCACTCTCCAGTATTCCTAAGAGATCTTTCTATACGTGGCACAAACTCTGTGGCTAGCAAGACTATGGCCTTGCTAGTCGGAGGGAAGGGTGAAGGACATATTCTGAAGCGCTAAAAGCTCTCCAAGGAAATCAGTAGCTGACTCCAAGGGGCCAAGCAGAGCTGCTGGGGGTTGAGTGAGTGGAAAATAAAACAAGCTTTCACAGGATCATGCTGTGTGCCAGCTTATCTCATACTACTTTGAGTTCTACAAAATGACACTAACAAAGCCACAATTCTTATTTTCAATTCTAAACCCAGAAAGCTTTAAAATAAAGCAAGATTTTTTCCCTTAATGTCTGTAGTAAATTCATTTGTCAGCAAACCCTGACCTGAATTGATGCGAATATGTAATCTTTGCACTTGAGTACAGACCTATTAATGCCACCCAGACCTCCCTGGGGATGTTATAAAGTGTATGGTGTGTGTGCGCCATATTATCTTTGTAAAACAGAATTTTCCAAAACAAATTGGTTCCAGAAAAATCAAGTGAAGAAGTTGAAGTTATGAGAATTAAGTGTTTTCTCAACACATTGCTACTGAGTTATGTAACTAGATTTGAAAAACAGGCCACATGCACTCTTTTTCAGTTCTGCCACACTGTCATTTAAGGGATGTGTTGAAAATCACTTAGCCCATTCTTTGAAAGACATCTGTTAACTTTGCAGATGCTTCTATAGAAGAATACGGGATCAACCATGGCTTTGTAAGGAAGCTTCTATAACACTCTGAAATGAAACTAAGAGGGAGCTTCTGGGTGGGTGAGCCTCGTGTGTTCCTCACACCCATAGCCTACCCTGTGCATATCTCCCATTTGACTGTTTCTGAGTTGTAGTCTCATACTAAACCAGCAAATGTAAGTAAAGCTCTGTGAATTCATGCAGCCAATTACTGAAGCTGAGAAGTGGTCACGGGAACCTCCAAGTATATAGCCTATCAATCAGAAGTACAAGTGGCCTCTGGGGCTTGTACCTCAAATCTGAAGCAGGGGTAGTTTTGTGGGACTGAACCTTTATAACCTGTGGGGTCACTGATGCCAGGTAATTAGGGTCAGAATTTAATTGAATTGTAGCCAATTGTACTGGAGTACCAGGGAAATGGTGTTGGGATACCACAAGCATCTTAACTGTTTCGTGTATAACCTGGTCACAACCATCTTCTTTTATAGTATCTGACTAAGCAAGTGGAGCTTCTCCGACAGATGAATGAACAACATGCAAAAGTTTATGAACAATTAGATGTCACAGCAAGAGAACTGGAAGAAACAAATCAAAAGCTAGTTGTTGAAAGCAAGGCTTCACAACAAAAAATTCTGAGGTAAATTTCTAGAACCCATTCAGAAAGCCTTAGTGTGAGGAAATTTAATATAAACTAGACTACAGTGTGGCTGTAGTGGGTTTAGGTCAATATGAGGTAAGATTTAATTTAATTTTTGTGGAGAAGAGAGAGAAATAGAAGTCCTTTCCACTAAAGGAAGCCCCGTTTGAGTGGCTGGCAGCTAATCTGTCCTCACCGCTTATGCCCTTAATACGACAAGCAGCAATTGGCTCATGTCTTTCCTCACAGTCTGACTGAAACAATCGAATGCCTACAAACCAACATTGATCACCTCCAGAGCCAAGTGGAGGAGTTGAAGTCATCTGGTCAAGGGAGAAGGAGCCAGGGGAAGTGTGAGCAGGAGAAATCGGCGCCCAGCTTCTGTCTGAAAGAGCTGTATGATCTCCGCCAGTAAGAACCTGACTTCCTGTGGTATTCATAAGCATTCATTTACACACTTTGGAATCCCATAGATAAAATATATCCTTTAAAGAAACACTTTTTATAAACACTTCCTAGTAAACAAAGCCACTTAACATACAAGTTACAGAGTTTGGGGTGTTAGACTTTGAAAACTTTTCAAAGTCTTGGGATCATTCATTTCCATGTTTCTAATATGTTAAAACTTAACATATACATATTTTTAATATGTTAAAATACCATGTAGTACTTCATAGATACATATTTGGTGGTGTTGCTCATGTTGGAGTGAAGAAAATTTCAGTAGAAGAAATCCATTAGAATGGATTTTTTTCTTAGCCTGCAGAAATGCCTTCACAATTTAAAGTTAGGACATTGAATTTTCTTTGAAGAATTATTTATTGAAGTTGTTGAAAGACAAGCGCTATGTCAGACATGAGGGGGTGATGAGCAAAATCATACCACTCCTGCCCCATAGGGTTTTTAGCCTCCTGGGAGGCAAAGAAGCACATAGTCACAAATACAGCTTCCAGCTGCTGGCACTCTGGGCAGGAGCGAGACCAGTTCATACACCTGCTGGTTTTCAACCACGGCTGTTAATCGGCTCAACTGTGGGCTTTCTCACATTGTGATACCAGGGATTGTCAAGCCTAAAACAGTCTCTAAGTGTGGGTAGAAAGCTGTGTGATCCTGATGTGCATTTCTGGTTAAAAATTACTAAAGCATTGGTTTGCAACTTAGTTGTTTATTATGAGTCTATGGAGAACTTAAAAAACAAAAACAAAAACTCAAGTCTAGACTAACTAGGTCAGCACTGAAGGGGTGAGGGCCCAGCATCTATTTTGTTATCACTCCCCACATGATTGTTGGAGAGAACCACTGGGCTGTTGTGGTTTTTTCTAAAAGTAGCAGCTGTAGTACCTGTGGTGGGTGTACTTGTGATGTGCTTATAAAATTAGTCACAGAAAAGTAAGTTTTCTTAAATGTATTTGCCAGCCTCCCACAGTGTCATTTTAGCTATGGCTCTAGTGTGGACTAGGCAAAAAGTCATCACTGTCAAATTCCTTAATACTTAGTTGGAGGGAAAAGCATCTTTTTCTCTCTTCATTTTCAGTGACCTGTGTAATATGTTTTTTCAATGTTTGCCCCCTAGACACTTTGTGTATGATCACGTGTTTGCAGAGAAGATTACTTCCTTGCACAGTCAGCAAAGCCCAGAAGAAGAAGAAAATGCGCATTTGAAGAAAACAGTGACAATGTTGCAGGCTCAGCTGAAACTGGAGCGGGAAAAGAGGGTGAATGTGGAAGAAGAGTATGGGCTTGTGCTGAAGGAGAACAGCGACCTGGAACAGCAGCTGGGCGCCTCGGATGCCTACCGAGCCCGGGCGCTCGAATTAGAAGCGGAGGTGGCGGAGCTGCGGCAGATACTGCAGTCAGAGAACCCTTTCGTGAATGGGGTTGAGAAACTGGTGCCAGACTCTCTGTTTGTCCCTTTCAAAGAGCCCAGCCAAAGCCTACTGGAGGAGCTGTTCGTGGCTACACCCGAAGCACATAGAAACCCTCTCAAGCGCAGCAGCAGTGAGACAGTGCTGAGCAGCTTGGCAGGGGGTGACATCGTGAAGGGCCACGAGGAGACCTGCATCCGGAGGGCCAAGGCTGTGAAGCAGAGGGGCATCTCCCTCCTGCACGAAGTGGACACTCAGTACAGCGCCCTGAAGGTGAAGTATGAAGAGCTGCTGAAGAAGTGCCAGCAGGAGGAGGACTCCCTGTCCCACAAGGCTGTGCAGACCTCCAGGGTGCCTACCAAAGACCTGGGGGAGGTGAACACCCAGCCTGAACCTGGTGCCGGCGCCTGGGAACTGGGCCCTGTCACCCCAGAATCCGTCGGTTCCCCTGCTGCCACACCACCCCCTGAATACAAAGCGCTTTTTAAGGAGATCTTTAGTTGTATTAAGAAAACTAAGCAGGAAATTGATGAACAGAGAACAAAATACCCCTCCCTCTCCTCTTATTCCTAACTGAACCTCCAGCTCTGCTACTACCTTCCTTCTTTCCTGTCACCTCAAGTGTTTGTAGATCCCAAAGCCTGACGTTGCTCATGACATTGCCTCATTATCTTGCTTATTCAGCAAATGCATACAGCCAGGGAAGAAGGTGGCACCTGACGTCAGTTCTGTAATCCAGTTCCGTTTAAGCTCCTCAGGAAATAGACAGACTGGCCTCTGGCTGGCGCACTGATGAGACTGATGCCTCGAAAAACCCCACAAGCAGTGGAGGGGAGTCCTTATCCGCTGGAGGAGCAGGCCTGGAGTTACATAGTCCATAGTATTACACATAGGTGTACGTGTGTAGGGAAAGGGCAGAGCTGAGACGAAGCTACGGCCATTCCTGCTGCCTCCTTGCTTCTCAGAACTATAGAAGTCAGACTACTGCCGTACTGAAATATCTTTTGCAAACACTGTTGGATACTGTGAATTCATTATGAAGAATGTTCAGGAGAAAGCAGGGGTCTAATCCAAAATAGATGGGATTAGTGAAAACTCCAGGTCTTTGGGTTTTACATCTGCTACAGTTGATCTGTGACTGACAGGTAACCCTAGTATTCTGGCAAGCACTGGTGTGACCAAAGGTAACTTGTTGGCCTGTGCCCTCGAGGCCCTCCAGCCCCACATTCTGAGGTTTCTTACTTAGAACCATGATGGCGAGAAAGGGTACATATGTAAATCACTCCTTTCTTAAATTCGAGCTAAAGGAAAAAGATGGCCTCCTTGCTCCTACTGTGCTGTCTGAGATGATTAGCCTATCAACCACAAGCTGTTCTTGCTCAGCTCCTATTAAATGTTTCTGAGCTGCTGCAGAAATCCGTATCTGCTGCTTTATTACAGTATTGGTGTTCTGACTCTGGAAACATACTCATCTATTCACTTGCATTCTTTTAATTTAAAAATATTTAAGAGAACTGAGGTTCTGGTTATTGTATATATTTTTCTAAAACCCAAATAAAACTACCTATGAAAATGAACAAAAAGATTTAATACTTGTCATTTTAAGCTTAAGCCATTTTCACAATTGTAACCAACTACCCACTCTTTTTTTTCTTCCAACAAGAAACTAGGAAAATTGGATAGTGATTTCCCCCCCCTCATTTCTTTGAAATAGAGCTTTGGAGTTTGTTTTTTTTTCCCCCTCATTGATAATATCTGTTAAAATTACTGGATGTTTAAAAAATGCATTTTCAGTTAACACTGTATAATTACCGCTATTAGAATTGTCAGGGTTGGTTCTGAATGAAAATCACATTTGATTAGTTGATTCTCAAAATATTTGATAATTCAGTCATAGAAAAGAAACTTTACAAACAAAGACTTTACAGTGGGACTATTTAAGTCTAAAAAAATGGATGAGACATTTTCTTCACAATAGATACATGCATTTATATGGTCCCTGACAGGTACATTGTTGCTATTATCTTTGTAATGGATTGCTTAAGTGTCTTTGGACATTTATGAGTCTAGGAGATAAATTACTAGATGTGAAATAAAAAGGATAGTAGCGGTTTGCTGGGCTAACCATCTTCCGGAAGTTTACTGCTACATCTGCCAGCTCCTATCAAGAATGTAGAAGGATGCCTATCTTCTCATACCAGCATGCCAGCAAACCTTCTGAGCTCCGAGAAACTAATGGAGAAAAAAAGTTGTTTCCTTGAAGTTTAAAATTGCGTGTTTTTTTTTATTAATGAGGTTGAATGTTTTTTAATCTATTAAGCCACTTGTTACCATGTTTTCTTACCCAAAAGCTCTAGTATTTAGGACATAATCTTGCAATTCAACTGTTTATATATTTGGCAAAATGCCAATAACAGTCTCTCCTGGAAAATACCTTGTATACTTAAGAGGAACATGTATTCTTTTGTTGGGTAGTTTGTGTCTTGCAGAGTGGTTTATTCTTAGGTCCTCAGTTTTCTTCTGTCTGCTTCGATCCTTTATTGTGACTGGAGATTTGAAGTATCTAATGTCTGTTGTAGAACACTATCTTCCCTGTTAATTCTGTCTGATTTTATGTTTGGAGTTCTGCCACCCATTATGTATGTTTATAATTAGGGGCTTCATTTAACATCTTAAAGCTGTAACATTGTAATTTGAATGTATAGTATTTTAGCTTCAATAACAAAAACTGTTTCTTTGCAGCTATCTGCATCCTTTTCAGTTATTAATGTTGCAAAATTATATCTGTATCTATAGTATCCCAAAATATAAACCAATTCTTTCAAATGCATTAATTTCTTAAATTACGCAGAAAATAAAATTTGAAGTTACAAGTCAAAGTTGCACTAGCACTAGCATTGACACAATTTTTTCTTTAAATGTTAGTATCAAATCATGTAGAAAATAAAACACTGTGACTACTAAGTTACAATACTAGCTTTTATAATTGCCTCTGTATTTACCTTTACTGAGATCTTCATTTCTCCATGTGACTGCAAGTTTCTGTCTAGTGTATTTTCACTTCACCTGGCAGGACTCTTGAACATCTCTTTGAAGTCAGGTCTAGTAGTCACTAATTCCTTCAGCTTTTATTTACCTAGAAATGTTTTAATATCTTCCTCACTTAAGAGGACTGTTTGCTAAATAAAGGATTTTTAGTTGAATTTTTTCTTTTAGCATTTTGAATACTTTGGTCCAACGTCTCCTGGGCTCCAAAGTTTCTGATGGTCTCATTGAACGACTCTTATATGTGGTAAGTTACTTCTCTCACTGCTCTGTCTTCTGCAATTTGACTATACCTCTTGGTCTAGATCTCAGTTTATCTTACGTGGCGTTCACTGAGTTTCTTAGATGTTTATATTCATGTTTTTCATCAAACAAGGATTTTCAAACATTTTCTTTGAATACTCACTGCCGTTTTCTGGAACTCTCATGAGTATGTTGGCTCTCCTGGTGTTCCACAAACCCCTTTTAGTCTCTCTCTCTGCCTCTACCTAATAGTTTCCATTGTCCAATCTTTAGGTTTGCTGATTCTTCTGCCTGCTGAAATTGGCCTTTGAATTGCTGGTGAATTTTTCATTTCAGAATTTCTTTTTAGGTTTTCTGTTTGTATAGCTGTTTACATTGTATTCAATTCACATCACTTCCTTCACTGTTTACACATCCCTGAGCACTTTTAAAACTGTCTTTGTCCAGTGTCTTTACTATTGGGTCTTTCAGGAACATCTGCTATTTTTTTATTCCATTAATCAGCCATAATTATTTTTGTGTGATCTTTTTTTTTTTTTAACACTGGATACTTCAATTTAATTATGTAGTAACTAGAAATCAGATCCTCTCCCTTGGTCAGGTTTTCCTGGGGTGGGGGGTGTGTTTGTTTTCTGGATTGTTAAAGGCAGTGTCCATAAATCTTAAGTTCTCAGATTTTTTTCTGATTCTTTCCCTTGGGATGCAAAGTTATTTTTCCTGTTATATGCAGTAATTTCTGAACGTTCTAGTCTTTAGTGTCTAACTTCCCAGAAGGGAAAAGGCATCATTTCAGCCTTAAGCATTCAGGATCTGCAGCTGTGGGGGTGGTGCAGTAGTGACTCCCTTTCATCTGCACCTCAGGAATGAGAAGCAGCTATCAGGGCATAGATCCTTATTCTGAGCGCAGAATCCTGTCCTCTTCAGTTCCCCGCAAGCTGGTGTAAACTGTGCATATGCATGGCTGCCTCTGGCGCAGTGGAGGGGGGGAGAATGTCTTGTTACCATGCTCAGAGCAGAAAGTGGCCAAAATTAACTGCAATTTACAGTGCACATGTTCCCCTGGAAGTCACCAGAGATTCCAGAGTTCCAACAGTTAGATTCTGCAGTTTAGGTGGGACAAGATTCATGGTGTTTCTTACTCTCTCAGAAGCCTTCTAAACTATAGCTTAAATCTGTTTGCTATCACTTGAACTTCTGTCTGAATCAAGTACTAAATTTCTAAATGAATATAGAATGGTAGTATTAGCTTTTTTTTAAGTGTTTTTATCAGTAATGGACTGTACATCTTGATTCCTGAGAATTTTTTCACTCATTCTAGCTGCATTCTTACAAGCTTTATTAATAATCTGGTATGTTACAGGAGTTATTCCTAGTAACATCACACTTGTAATAATTTAACATGTCAGTGTAATTATTCAGGATTTTTAATATCATACTACCTTTGCCAGATTTTTAAATCAGTATTTTCTAACAACTTGGAGGTTCATTATCTGCTGAAGTTTAACTCTGGTAGTGTTTGTCTTAAAGAGTTGATATAACTAAACTGTAGTATCTGGACCTTTTCTTCTCTAATGATCTTGCAAGCTTTTCTTTCCAATCAGTTTTAATAATTCATTTCCCATATACATCATCTAACTCCTTTTTCTCCTTTACAATATCTGTTTCCTTATCTGATTGTTGGTAATAGTAATTTTACATTATGTACTTTAATTTTTTAACTATTTTCTCCTTCATTCCTTAAAATTGTCTAGCTAATTATTTAAATTCTTAGTTTACAGCAATGGTGCCCCCAGTAAGCCCTTGCCCAGAAGCTCTGCCCTGTCTTCCATAGCACCATGAAGCGATCGCCTTAATAGTGCAACTGGACATGCTCAAAATTAACTGTCACTTTGTGAACTTTTCCAGCTCACATGTTAGCAACTAGAAATCAAGAACATAATGTCTACTCAACCTGCTGAATATGTTATCAAATATTCAATGTTTTTCTTTTGGGAGAGGAAAAAGGAAATAAAGACCATTATCTAAACTTTCAGGTAACGGTGGTTCCAATTCTCAAAACAGATTATCACAAAAGCCTTACGCAGCAAAATGTCACACACCAACCAACCACCCTGCTTGTATTTGTTCATAATCTAACAAGGTCTGTACTGACAATAAGGTCTATGCTAGCCACATGGCAACTGAGTACTTAAATCGTGTCTAGTCCAAATTGCAAATGCTGCGAGTACAAGATTCCAGATTGAAAAAACATAGTACAAAAAATTTTTTATTAAGGTTGGTTTTTTAGCTGTGTTGGGTTAATCAGTTTCCTTTTCTCTGACATGCACAGTTCTACTGGGCAGCCTGATCTAAGGAATTCTCCCTCCCTCTGACATACAGACAGCCTTCCTTCTTGTAACCATTTGAAGACCATCACCAATATATCAGGTTAGTGTTAGCATTTATTTTAAAAATACACAAAATATAAATTTTTTACATCAAAGTGTGATAGCCTCACTTATACATTGTTCCATACTTACCTGGTTTAGTTTGTTTGCATCATTACACAAACATTAAAAACGGATGGATCTGATTCTGCTTTTTTGCTATGGTTCATGTAAACAGCTGAGACTGCTACATAAAGTAGGTTGTTTTAAAAGGGTACAGTGGCCACAGAAACCCAACAGTAAAACAATTCAGTTTGGTTTGTTTAATTGGCAAAAGTCTTAGCAGATAATCAAAGTCTAAATATTGGTTTCTAGGCATTTTAAATATTAAAAACCTTGAGGTTTTCTTCATCTTGTAAACATAACTTAGACTTTGTTGGCATTAAGTTGGAAAAATATTAAATCATGATTTTCATCATCCTGCCCATGTCAGTACAACCTCTCTTTATTATGAGAATGAAACCAAATAATAAGCAAAATACATTAGGAATTTCAACTTGTACTGCAAAGAAGGTCCCAGCTGGTCTCTTCTGGGAGCAGTCTAACTTAAGCTGACCCTGCCACCGGCTGAATATGATCCCCCTGTCCACTGGACAGTGCAGTGCCACAGGCCATGAGATGGTCAGTTCCTCTTGCTCCGTATCTTCTGAAGCAATTGAGACTCTACTTCCACCTCTGCTGGCTTGCTGTCCTTCCTTGGGCTTGGATTCACTGGGTTTGTGGTTTGCAACTATTGTCAAGACTGTACTGTCCCTTTAAGGTACCACATGCCACCATAGCTTACACAGCAGTCCTGGAATAGAGAGAGACATTGTAAGGGCAGATTTTAGCAGGAAGGCAGTCACTACATTCTATGTAAAATATAACAACTTAAGAATGTCTTGAGGAATTACAAGTGAATGTGCTTCATAAGCTGCTACAAAGGTGCTTGAGAGGATCACTACAGATGGCCTTGAATGTTTAACATATCACAATATAAAGTAATTATCAGTTGTCTGTTCCAATGTTTTACAAATGTAGAATTTGTATTTGTACTAGTCAATTCATAAAATGCATTATTTAGAGGTAGTACATTTAAGTATTTTCATATACTAGATTACAGTTAAGTTAAAAATTCTGTGGAGCAGTGTAAGAAGCAGTATGGGGCCATGGCAAATCACAAATGTGGTATGAGACTGAAAGGGACAGTACAGTCTGGACTCTAGGCCCTTTTCACTTTAAAGAATGACAGTGATGACTGACTGGACTATCTTTTGAGGGGGGAGTCTACCTCTTAGTCAGTTTAGTTCTTTTGCACGTAACCACCACAGCCAGTCATCCTCAGTAGCCAAAAACGACCTGGCTGGGAGGCTCCCAGACCGCCCCTCTCCACCTGAGACGCCACCCTCTTTAAGCTCCTGGCCAGAGCAGAAGCCCAGAGCCTCTGGACATGACTGTGCAAAATGGATGTACCTTTAGCACTTTATCCACCTCCTGTTTACTCAGATCTTCTCCACACTCTTGAGTCAACCGAGACTGGATCATGTTCCGGCGTACCCGGTAATTTTTGGAAAAAATTTCAAGCAAAACCTGTCGATGCTTTAGTAGCAAAAACATGTTATTACGGGCAAAAGTCACCTAAAAGAAGCATTCCTAAACAAGAACTCCAAAGACTGAACCTACTCCAAACCCCTTGCCCAGAACTTTGTAATATGGCTAAAAGATGAACAAATCTGGCCAGTCTGCCATTATTCAAGATTCCCCAGTAAAATACCAAAATAAAAACAAAAGAACCAGTGAAGGGTCAGCAGAGGGTGAGATTTGACGCTTCCCTATATATCAACTGACTTAGCAGGGAGCCACAACCTAGCTTCTTGAGACACACAAAGGCATGAGAAGTGAGTGGCTTCAAGACGACACAAATGCTGGAACTAACTACATGGACGACGGCTGGAATATCACATATTAAACGACAAAGGCTGTGTCTGGCATGTGGGTGAGTGCCAAATGATCAAAAAACAGGTAAAGCAACACGCCTGTGTGTGACCGACAGCAGAGCGCACCAGGATTGCACTGATGCACAGCAGCCGGAATAAGGACGCAGTCTCCGAGAGCAGAACAAAGGGAAAGCTACGAGCCAAATTTATAAAACAGCGGTGCGTCACTGCACAACAACTCTGAAAGCCTGAACACAACTGAAAAACCTTAAGAGGGAAATGATTTGTCCTCTAGAATTCTTAAGTCCTAAACAATAATACTGGAGGACCAAAGAAAACCATTTAAGACATGGAAGAATGCAGACAACTGTATCCCCTTAGAAGCAAAACTCCAGGATGACGACACAAGGTTCCTCATGCCAGCGACAGAGCCGTCCCCCCCAGAGGCTCCCCAGACCCGCCTCGCAAGCAGTGTTACTGACAAAAACGGCATCGCGCACACTATCCACATCCAGCTCGACAATGCGCAGCTTTCCGGTCTGCAGCTGTGAGCACCGCAGCAGTTTGACTAAATGGCCACCCCCCACCCCTCCGCACTCGTTCTCCCAGCACAGGCGGCCCCACTCCCTCATCCACCACAATGGGGCGTACGCTGACAACATATGGAACAGCGGTGTAAGAACGCGTGTTTTTAGAAAAAGATAGTTGCTGGTGAATCAGGCAGATGCTTTTCTAGAAGCTTTCAGTATTTTACTTGATTTTTGTTCCTGGTTACTAGAGGATTTCAGGGGTTTCGGGAAGCCAGATGCCACCTATTCTCAAAGGCACGCAGGCTTGCTCAGGGAAAACTGCCAGACAGCACCCTCACAGCACCCGGCTGCCCTAGGCCATCCCTCTGTACTGTCTGCTGGCCAGTGGCCATCAGAGGCTGAGGGGCAAACTCGGGGGGGGCCTCTGCCTTACTCCCTTTCAACCCACACCTCAGGAACAGACCCGGAAAAGGACACACTGGCCGGAGTTTAATTAAATTCTGATTTTCAAGTTCAGACAAATTCATGATTTCAGGAGAACCTCTGGCCTGCAGGGCACATGGCCACCCTTATGCAAGCACAAAGGTACTACTACTTGTGCGTCTTGTTCGCTGTCCTCTTTCCTGCCTGGCTGTTAGAAGGGACAAAATGACCCAACTTCTCTAACTTCCTATCCAGCACCTGAGATCTGATAACTTTCTACCACCAGTGGCCACTGGGAAAGGTGGCTCACTACTGGTTTGCGAGCCTGGCTGGGGATCAGTCATTTAGAAAGCTATGTAGGCGCACAAACACGTAGGACTTCTCACCTTACCTGATCACTCATGTCTCCAGACTCCCAGAGGGCAAACACCTTCTGCTCATCTGGGGAAGCAGCAGTCTGTGGGGGAAACTGACCAAAGCCCGGGTGTGAGATGATCACCTGTCTTGACCACATGGGTGCTCACACCCCACACTGCAGTCTCCAGTCCTGGCTAGGGGCTACAGTTACCAACCTGCATCCATCTGTCGCACCCTCACTGTGGGGGAAGAGGTCGGCCGCACCACCAGGCCTCAGAGCGCTTCTGTGAGGAGCCATCATTGGGCCGCAGATGGGGTGCTCCAGCTAGGGGGCATGTGGCTTGTTTTCCCCATAAACATGGCTCAGCTCGGTGTTTACATGCAGCTCTCCTGCCCTATATCAACCCTCAGTTGTGTCTTAAGAGGCACTCCCTCCGACAGCCCCCCTAAGGTATCCTGAGAATCCTCCCCATGGCGCTGTGTCTATCTGGGTTAGGGGCCCTGCTGGAACCCCCAGCAGCCCATGCCACGTGGGCCAGGAAAGGGTGGCACAAGCAACAGTAGTGGTTACCATCACATAGAGCCCCAAGTGAGGCCTTAAATATATAATCTCATCAGGTCATCGGATGGGGGAGGGGCGCGGGGCGATTATTGCTCCCAGTCTCCATGAGCAATCAGGTCCAAAGAGCTGTGTCCATGGTCACACAGCGAACAAGTAGCAGAACCAGGAGTTAAGCAAGCTCCAGAGGGCCACTGTTTCCCGCAGACACCAGTCCTATCAGGGGGAGACACATGGCAAGAACAGGTCCAGGGGTGGGGTGTCAGAGGGCTCCAGGCTCCCCACCCCCACTGTGCACTCTTATGCCATAAGACAGTCTAACACCAGGCCCAGGAACCTTCCTTGCCCAGCCCAGCTCAGCCGGCGAGCCTAAAATGACCCACGTGCTAGGGGAACAAGGGTTCCCCATCAGTATAGCAGGGCAGGCCCCCAAAACCTGGTGCCTTCCCTAGCAGACCTCCGTCCCAGCCAGACCCTCTCAGACAATTCAGCTAGTCTGAGCCCAGGGCTTTCTTATCTTTGTTTCTGTTCCTCACATAAATATCTCCCAAGGCTGCAGATGCTTCTGTGGTCTTGGGCCGCAACGGCAGCATCCCCTTGTCTGGAGAGTGCAACAGCCCTGCCACACCTTGTTTGCTGCAGGTCTGGGCAGCACAGGAGAGACTCCCCCGAGTGCGGCTGCTCAAGGCTACAGCCAGCACTCGTCGCCTCTTCACCCTCTGCTCCCAGTCTCCATGAGCAATCAGGAAAGGGCCCCAGCGTCTGTTCCGCTCCTATACTGCCTTGACTTGGGGCCCAGGCACTGACAGCACAGGGAGCCTGGGGTGTGGGTGGTCTGCCCTGCCATTGGTGGGCCTGGCACCAGAATGCTACCTGAAAGGCCAGAGCCATGCTGCTCAGTTAGGGACAGGGCAGCCACCAGGAGCCAGGCACCACTGGGGCGCTGGTGAGGGTGAAAGGACTTAGGACTGATCCAGGTCCCAGATTTGTCACTTCTTGAGTGACATGACCTCTAAGCAAGTTCCTTTTGCTTTGAATCTTAGATTTTTCACCCATGGGTTGCAAAGATCAAATGACACTAGCAATCATCCTGAAAAATGGCAAATGGAAGGAGTGAGATACCAGGGTTGGGGTGGGAAGTGGGGGGAACCGGGCAGAAACCAGGCTGAGGCCCTTCCTGCATGGAGCCTGCCTGCTCTAGGCCAGGTGGTAGAGCAGGCCCTTCAGACATGTCATCCTGCCTGGCACAAATGGAAAGCCGGCCCCTGCAGTGAGTGCAGAGCCTGAAGGCTGGCTCCCCTAGAGGAGAGCAGAAGCCACTCCATAGTGACCCCACTACCCTCATGCTCCGGCCCAGGCACCCTCCTGAGGGAGGCCCTGCTGCCTGCAGACAAGCACAGCTCTACTTACAGGCACCAGTATCTGCTTGCACCCGGCGGCCAGCACTGTGTCCTGCAGCATGCGGTCCGAGATGCCGCTGAACAGCGTGTGGCCAGGGGGCAGACTGGCCAAGTGCAGGTTGAAGAGGCGCTTGAGTTCACTCAGTGTCAGCACAAACTGTCTCTGAAAGGTGGTTTCCACGAAGGCCCGCAGTTCCCGGGTGACAGGGGTGCTGGCTGAGCCAGGGGGCAGGTGCCCATTGAAGCTGTCCCCACCTGTCGCTCGCCCAGCAGGCAGTCCATTGGCTAGCCTGGTGTGGAAGCCACTGCCGGGTGAAGTGTCCATGGGTTCTTCTGCTTCCCGCTCTTCCTCTTCTTCACCCTCCTCACTCATGGGCTCCTCCTTGATCCTCACACCAGGCAGGATCGAGGACGCCCGGATCTGCTCCTTCCGCCGCTGCAGCTCCTGGTCCAGCAGGGTATGGTTTTGCTGGGCCTTGCTTTTGGCTGCTTGGATCCGCTGGTCCCCAGAGATCAGCCCAGCAGGTCCTGTGGAAGAAGAGCACTGTTCAGGAGGGAAATGCCTGAAGATAAGACTGCAGCCCTCTGTCCCAGGGGCAGTCCTTCCACCCAGATGGGACATCCTGCTGTTCTGAGGGAGGGGACAGAATGGGGCAGGCCAGCGGGGACTGAGGCAAGTGGCCCAGTCCTGCCTCACCCCATCTTACCCAGGGAGGGGTAGCTACTGGAACAACGTGGGAAGAAAAGACTGGGAAAATCAATCTCCCAAGGCCAGAGAGCCAAGTGGGCTGCCAGCCCCTGCTGCCCCACCACCTTCTGTCAAATCAAGGAAGTGAGAGGATCTCAGAGGCCTGGAACCTGGTCTGGACACAGCCCTGGAGATGCCCTCAGTCCCCAAGCTGAGGTGCTGCCACTGAGCAAGCCAACTGAGGTCCGTAGGGACAGGGACAAGGAACAAGGAACAGAATCAAAGGTAGACACCCCTCTCCAGGCCACACCCTGCACACTCCAGAAGAGACCCCTTAGGAGCCAGGGTCCAGGCTTGGGCCTGTTGATCCCAAAACCTCTCACATACCTGATTGTCCATCCGGCTTCTTTGGCATGGTTTCCTTCACGAGATTATAAACTTTTTCTAACCTAAAAAAGGGAGTTAAACACTTTTAACTTTGAACCACGTCCCCCACCATCTGCCTCACAGTTAGCAATATCCTTTTAAGCTCTGGTGTTGCTTCAGTGAAGACAGAGTGCTCGGAGCTCTGACAAGCCTTCTCTGCGGCACACAGCCCCACAGCACAGGAGCCCGTGGCTCGAGTGGGGAATGGCAGCCTCTCCCGCCTTCTTCACTCCACCTCCAGCCAGGCAGCCCAGGATCTTCCTCCTGAGTGCTTTTCCTCTCTGTACACCTGGCACTCCTCCCTGACCTCTCAGGCCAAACCCCCAAGATTTCACCTCATGCATCAGCTCTGACCAGCAGTGGTGGCTCTCCAGGCTTTGGCGGGAGGGATTCTGGGGTCAGTTGGCCATGTCCACCCAAGGGCAGGGGAGTGGTACCTTCATTGCCCAGATGCACCTGGTGGTGTGCCCTCTACCTGGTGCACCCCCACAGGTGGCCTCCAGCCACTCTGCCACCCAGCAAGCTCTTACTTGGCCTGAATGCCTGTCCACAGCATGTGCTGCCGCTGGACCACATCTGGGTGCTTCTTGATGAACTCCCCGTCGTAAGGCAGTATGAACTCCCAGCCTTTGTTGATCCTCACCACAGCCATGTGCTCCAGGAAGTCCTTCACATCCTCCGCACAGAGCTGGGGGTGAGAGTGGGATGAGGTAGGGCTGGCCCGACCCCACACCCATGCCCACTCCCCTCCAGGGGCAGAGCCCTGGGCCTCACACCAAGCAACTACTTACTTTAGTCACTGTCGCCACCTCTTTCCTCACTACCCACCGGCTCTGAGTGAACTTCCACATCTGAGAAAGAAAAAGCAGCCTGTTTCCTGGAGAGCCAGAGATGGCCACTCCTAAACAATCCCCAAAACCCACATGGTATGTGGCAGCCTGGTCCTGGCCGTGACTCTCACTAGCAGTAGTGGCCTTCAACCCTGAGCCCCTTCCTCCTAGTGGAGGAGCTCCAGGAGTACCCCAAACAGTACTCCAGACAGCACTCTGGGAGGGGTTGTCCTGCCCATCTATTCATGTGTTCCCAAATCCTCCGAGGAAGATTTCTGTGACAAATCAGGTGCCAACACAGAGGGGTGCCCCCCAGCACCCTCTGCAAAGGCTGTCCCTCAGAGACTCTGCTTCAGCTGCTTAATGGGGTTCCCTTCATGGGGGCAGGCTGAGGACAGATGTCTGAGGAAACCGTGCGCCACGAAGACTCATCTGTAGTAACTCAGCTTTGACTGGCCACTCTCCCAGGCCTCAAGGTGATGGCAGACAAGAGTGATGTCTGCGTGCTTGGGTGACGGAGCCTGAAGTGGGTGCTGCTCAGCCTTCTGACTCTCCAAAGGGAGACTACCCAGCACTGACCAGAGAAGCCAGAAACCCAGTCTCCCCAAGCAGCTTGTGGGCAGCCCTGGCAGTCCCTGTCACCAGCCCCTCTGCCGCTGCCCCCGAGCTGAGTGCCAGTGCAGCCTGTGCCCTTTTCTAGAAGAATCATGTTGAGGACATGGCAACTTGAAGCTCCTGCTAAGGTCGGGAGCAGCACCCTCAGGAGGGATCCCTCGGCTGGGACCTGAGCCCTGGATGAGGCAGGATGCTGGGGAGGAGATGGCGCTGGCTCAGGGCCCACGAAGCCCCCAGTAACCATGCAGGAGGCAGTGTGTGCAGGAGGAAGCACATGCCCGGGCCAGGGTGAAATGGGAGCTGTCAGCTCCCCTACAGCTGCTGCCACTCAGGTGCCAATCTGCCCAAGCTAGAAATCCAGTGGCACCACGATCTTGGTTTGTAAAAACCACCAACCAGATCAAACGTTAACAACACCTCTCAGGTGAAATGAAGCCTGCTACTTGCCAGCATCTACCTAGGGCTTGCAGGTCCCAGGCTTTCAGAACTTTAAGACTCGTGTGAAAACCTGAGGCTGGATGCGCTCGCCAGGGCCAAGGCCCTGGGTGCCGAGTCGCTCTCCCTCCTCCCTCCCTCCCTCCCGACCAGGGGTCCGGGCACTTACTACGAAGTCTCTGCCCCTGCAGAGCACCTCAGCGGGCACACCACTGTGAGGGCTGGAGGAGTCCTTGGGGTACAGGATGTCACTGCCAATGAGAGTGGGGGGCAAGTTAGTCCCCATCCCTGCCTCCCACCACCCCTGAATGCTCATGAGCAGGCCAGTGTGGCCTGTGCCTTCCTCCAGCACGGGTCCCCAGAGCCCCCCTTGGGAGCCTGGCCCTGTGAGCACAGATGCACAGGCCTCCCCAGCCCCCCATCATGCCAGCAGCCCACCTAAGGGCCAGTGTATGATCAGGGTGTGGCAGGGCTCCAGACTCAACATGAGTCCCACATGTAAGCGAGGTGGGAAGTCGAGAGAGACAAGTAAGCAGCTGGAGACACCTTTGCTGACAGTGTGGGGGGAGGTGGGAAGCGGAGCCGAGCAAGCGTGGCAGAGGCAAGAGAGGCTGGGATCTAGACGGGCACTGGTGGGGTTGTAGCCTTGGGAGACTGGCACTCGAGGTGAGGAAAACTAGCAGGTCACTGTGGCTAACGAGTATCCATGACAGGATCCTGAATCTGAGCCCAGTCCACATCTGACACAAAGCACACACCCTACCCCAAGCTTCCGTGATGTCTCTGCTCTTCTACCCGGCTCCCTCCTCAACCCTCAAGCACTGCTCACCCTTTAGAGTTGAGCTCCAGGCCCACTCCCTTCCTGTAGAAGTGCTATGGGGCAGGACCTGCTCTGGAGGTCGCCGCTGGCACACAGAAGTGGTGGCACAGTCAGTGGTGGATGAAGGATGAAAGTGGTCCAAGCCCCAGATTGCTGTCTCGACGTGCTCAAGTAAACAGGCCTGTCCCCACCCACAGCTCCGGGGACAGGGCTGCGTCCGAACCACAGCACAGCAGTGCAAGCACGAGCAATCAAGACGCTTACTGGGCAAATGAGCCGTTTGTCACCTCCTCCTGGGAGCCAGGGCCAGGGCAGAGGAACCACCCACTGGCCTGGGGCCAACACCCGCAGCACCTGAGGCGCCAGGCACATAGAGCCCACCGGCTCAGGGGGCCTACCTTCAAGTCACAGGGGCAGCTGCCCCAGGGGCACAGGTGGGCAAGCTCCAGCTGTGCGCCCGCTCTGTGCCTGCCCTGCTGCAGACGTCTGGCGAGTCTCTCCACCTCCTAGAGCCAGTGTGCTCAGGTGGACGAGAATACACACAGGTGCTCTCCCTTAATGAGTGATGTGCCATTACAGCTGTCTTCCACAATTAAACACGATGCCAAATACCAGCTGCGAGGTGCCCAGAGAATGGGCACCTGTTTCCCAGGGAAAGGGCGCGAATAAATTACAATTTGGCCAACCAACTATGAATTGCTTTTCTATGATAAATCACCTTTAAAAAAAGGTGGAGCGGCCCCCCCTGGTGGCGTAACGGGTTAGAAGGCAGCCATAGCCGCTTCAGTGTGAACTGGCTCCCTGGCCCTGGAGATGACCCACGTGGTGCGGCAGACCTCTCCTGAACGGATCGCCCACTGCTCCCCTCAGCAGTTTATTTCGTTGACCTGCCTGTTCTGCTCCCCACTCTGTCTCTGGTAAATCCCCTCACTGCCCCTGCACCTCTGGCCTGTACCCCAGTTCTGTATGCATAAGTAAATCAATCTTTAAAAAAAAAATGTGGAGCAACTCAGTGTGATAGTTCACCTCACATCACACTTCCTAAGTGTTAAGTCTTATTAATTACTAACTGGATGATGTAATGTCTTGTGGGTTTAAAACATAGAGAAATATGCAAATATGACAGCCTATGAGGTGAAAGATAAAATGATAAAAAAATATATATATAAAGATAAAAAGAAAATTCTGAGTTTTCGGAATTATCTTTTGGAAGAGGATTAGAAAGCAACAACATTAAACTGATAAATCCTGAATTCACACTAAATCCTGCAGGGTAATTGCTAAGATGCAAATTAGCAAGAAAAAAATGGAGTAAACAAAAAATTCAATTAAAATTAGAAGGTAAGAATAAATATAAAATGCAACATGGGCAGGACAAACAGAAAGCACTATGGAAGTTTTAAACTCAACACCAGCAACTGCATTAGATTTAAATGGATTAAGTGTTTTCTTGGGAAATACAGGTGAGCTTACCTCTTGACCACCCAGTTTCCTTGGACTAACATTGCCACCTTCTGGATGCCACGAAGAACAGCTACAGAGTCGATGGAGGGGCCTAGGAGGCTCATCAAGTTGGCAAAAGGCATAACCTTCACTAAGGAGGATGCAGGAGACATGAGACAAGGGAAGACTGGCCATTCCCGCCAAGCCTGTCAAGTTCATACAACAGTCCCAGATGTGAAAACAATGCCCCGGGTGACAGCAATAGTGGACATTCACAGGCTGCTGACTCTGGTCAGGTCTCTTGCATCTCACTGAATCTTGGAGAACTGATTCCAGTGGAAGGTTCCAGCAAGATTTAACACTTGGTTTGTAAGTGGCAGAGCCAGGACTTGAACCCGGGCCATCTGGGTCTGGAGGCCATATACTTAGAACCTGCTCTGCTCCACCCCCACCACCTGAACCCCCTGCCAACCAAGCACAGTCAGTACCTGGGAACTTGGGATGGTAGGGCAGTAGCACCCACGCAGCCTAGGTACAGTGGGGGGCTCCCCTCTCTGCGTGGGCCACTGGAGTCCCTTACACTGGAATGTTGGGAGAAGAGCTAGGGCCTGGGACTCAGAGTTGAAGTTCCAGGTTCATAGTCACCACTCACTAGCTACAGCACCTGACGGCGCTGCCCTCAGAGTCCCCTGAGAAAAGGGGACCAGTCCCTTCCACACAGTCTGATGAAGCACCGCAGGTCAGTGAAGTGGACATGCTTCCCTGTGTACAGGATGGCCACTTGTGGGCACATGCAAAGTTCCACACAAGCCCTTCATAAAAGCCTCATCTGACTCCTCACCTCAGCCCCAGGAGTTCTCTTGCTCCTTTTTGAAACAAGCAAGGCTCAGGAAGTTCAGTGGCCTGCCCAGACTCACAAGAGAGGCCAGAAGAGGGGCGTGGCCGACCAGAGCTAAGGGAGCCTGCTGTTGTGGTGCGCCCTCTTCCGGGGGGACAGAGTGTAAAGCCAGGCGTGTCTCCGTCTGCACCCTTTGGTCATTAGTCTGTCCCAGTCTCCACTTCCCCAGGAGGTAAGAGGGTATAGGGGTGGGGGAGTCACCCACCATTCTTCATCAGGATTTTGATCTGATCTGCCAGGGGCAGGGTGCGCAGCTGGGCCATGGACAGGACATTGCTGGGGGCCACGGGTTTGTCTCTGTTGAAATCAAGATGGTGCATTAGGAGGCCCGCAGGGATGCTTCTGTGGGCCCCAGCCCGCCTCTACTCACTTCTCTTCCTCCTGGCTGGGCGGCATCAGCATCATGAGGTACTCGCTGTGGGGGAGAGGGCAGGGTCAGCTGGGCCTTGCTCCCACCCTTCCTGCAGGACCACAGGCTGCATGCAGGCTCAAGTCCTCCCATCCCACACAGTGAGGGCTGGGGAGGGCAGAGGCCCCTTCCCACCTTTCCCCACACCGGAGAAGACCATCGCTTCCCACACCCACCCTCGTGGCCCTCTTCAGAAGATGGACCCCCATGCTACAGAAGGGGCAACAGCCCAGGGGCAAGGCTGAGAGCAGTGTGAAGTGCAGCAGCCAGGACCCTGCGTGGGCATCCAGCTCCCTCGTAGGCTCTGCCCGTGGGTGACTTGACGAGCTCCGTAGTCTCACCTGGGTGACTTGACGAGCTCTGTATTCTCAACCCCGCTGGAGCCCTGGCATAGCAGGTACTGGCGCTCATGCTCAGAGCGGCTGTCCTGTTGGAGGAGAACCTCAGCCACTGCCAGCCCTCACCCCTCTCCAGCCCCCGCCCCACCCAACCGCCATGGCACTCAGGGCCCCTGCGATGTGGCCCCACCTACTGCCCGCATGGCTCCCTGAGCTCAGCTCAGCACCCACACCCGGAAGCCCGGGAGGCAGGACACCAACGCCAAACAGAGAGCTGGCGCTGACCCCATGCCAGGCCCGCTACTCTAACTCCCCTCACCCTCGTCGTTATTCCTATTTTACAGTTAAGGAGACCAAGGCTCAGAGATCAGAACTCGCCCAAGGTGATATGTTAAAAAACAGAAGGCCATCTGGAAGCCTGACCCTGAGTCCAAGGCTCAGAGCACACAAATCAAGGTTCCAGAGAAATCGGGGGTTGCTTTCCCCCGAAACATGTTGGGGAGCCTACCCTATGGAGTATTTGGGAACGAACATTCAGTGGCTGGCCTCATTTAACACAGTTGCAAGGATGTGGCTTCTAAAGTCAACACACAAGCAAACTGACTCCAGTAAACGTCACCCTTGGTGGGTGCCCGTGACCTTGGCCATACGACAGGTGTCTGGTTGTCCTCGAAGTACCAGGTGAGGCGTCTGGCCTGTACTCAGGGCCCCCCGAAACATGAAAAAGGTGAAACCCAACACTAGCCCTGCTGGAGCCCAGCCAGATGTTCACCCAGGGAGCACCCTGGGGCCGCCACCCATCGGCAACAGACTCCTGGCTCCCCACCACGTCCCCTGGGACACAGCCCACGGACTATTCTCTCTCCCTGTGGTACCACAGGGTGACAATGATCAAGTCTGAAATAAGTTAAAGGCAACATAAAGGGGCCACACCAACATCCCTGACAGGGGAGCTCTCCAGGACCCCACATCTGGGCCACTCACCCTCAGGCCATAGTAGTGCAGGTGGACCCAGGGCTCCTCGGCATGCTTCTTCTGCAGGAACTCGTAGGACTGCACGCGGCGCTGGCGGGCCTGCTCCGACTCCGGCCGGGAGAAGCGCACCTGAAGCGGGGAGCCACTGCCTCAGACCAGTACACTGCCTGGGCGCCCCCCACTCCCATCTGCTCCTTTCCTGACACAGGTGTCCTCAAGTCAATCCTCACATGCCCTCCCCGCGCCCAGACAGGCCAGGGTGCCACTCTTTTGCTTCTGCCTACCCAGTGTCTGACCCATTTCCACCCCCACTGGTTACAGCACCCCATTTTCCTTGAGAAATGCCCAGCATCCCTTCCGTTTGGTGGGTGTTAACCCCTCTCCCTTCCTCCCATCCACAAGTTCCCAACTATAGCAGCTCAGGCTCAGCCCTGGACACCAGGGCCCGACCGTCTCGGCCACAGCACTGGCGCAGGGCTTGGTCCAAGCCTGAGTAAGGGTAGAGAAAGCAGTTTCTTTCCCCTTGAGAAGCTGAGAGGCTATGAGCCTAGAGCTGGACAACCCTCTGCACATCCAGACTGAAAGAGAGGCCCAAAGAGTAAGAAAGAAGCTGGAGAATAAGAAACCAGGTCTGAGTGAGTCTGAGCACCTGAACTCCTAGCTATGGAGGCCAGTGCGCCCTCCTCCTTGCTCACGCAGGGAGGCCTGGGTTCCTGTTGCGCAGAGTCCAGACGGAGCCAAGCCCTGACTCACCTCCCTGTGAGAGGCACCTGCAGAGGGAGGCTGGCTGGTTTATAGCCTCCTGGGATTCCTAAGAGCCTTTAAAGCATCTGGGCTTGTTACACGAGGGCCAGTGAGGGGAAGGAGATATCCAAGGCCAGCCCACAGTTACTGAGAGCGCAGGAGGAGCACATCCCACCCCAAATCATTATAACAGGCCCCCCGATCAGGCTAATATTCACCACGACATGGGCCCCACTGTGCTCCATCTGCATCCCCAGTGCTGAAATACCTGTTTCAACCTGCATATGCTTAAGAGGGGAAACTGTGCACCATAAACAGGTGGTCAATATTCTTCTAACAATCTTTAAAATGCAGGTGTTAACTGTTAAGGGAAACGTCACCTGTGCACAGGCCTTTGGCATCAAGGGACCACCGCACATGTTGCCTGTGGGAGCTCCACCAGCTCCCCGGGAGTCCAGCCACACACCCAGGGACCACTACCCTGTTTAAGCTGGGTAGAACTGGGTAGAACTCAGGCTGGGCAGAAGTGAGGTGGCCCATCAGGAAGCTCAAAAGACATCCCATAGTCCCCAGTCTCCACAGATCCCCCCCATTGCTTGCTATCACAGGGAACTGAGCTACAAAGGTGGCGGTTACAGCAGGCTGCACCGCCTGTGGGATGGAGCTCACCGTGATTTGCTTCACGTCTTCTTCTGCCTCGTCCTGTGAAGAGTCTCCCGCTGAAAGTGAAACAAACGCTGCTTGTGACCTCTGGCGGGGTCTTCTGCCCTCAGCTCACCCATCAGGAGGCCTCAAGAGGGTGTCTGTGACCCCCCCCTTCTAGCCACAAGTGGTTGTATAAGTCAACGGCTGTCAGATTCCCCCATGGCACATTCTGAAATGTGGAAGCACTTCTGGTTGTCCAAACTGGAGGGTTGGGTACTATTAGCATCCAGTGGGTAGAGGCCAGGGACACCACCAAGCAGCCTATAATCCACCCCGTCAGTGCCTCCTCCCATCCCGGCCAAGGCAGCCAGCCAGAGGTGGAGGGGTCCCGAGCTCACCCTCATTGGCAGCTTCTCTCTCACGGTGCTTGGCATCAGCCTTGTCCAGGTAAGAGAAGCTGGGCCGCAGCTGCAGGATGCCATGCAAAGGCGTCAGGTGGAGCTCACCTGGCAGAGGAAGAAGGGCTTGGACCTGAGTCACAGCAGATGCACCCAGGGTGGCTCAAGAGTCACCAAAGGACCTGGACACTGAGAGGTCCCAGCCCACACACCAGCCCCCAATCCTACAACCTTGGCCTCACTAGTCCTTGCTCATTCCTTGCTATGGGACCCAGATCAGACCAGAGCCAGCCACTACCTGAAGGCTAGCCCGCAAACCCTCCCACCCGGCCCTGTCGGCTCCTACCACACTGGACGATCCCCTTCACCCAATATGCCTCTTCCCCTGCCACCTCCAAAGGGCCTTGCCCTCTTCCCACTTACACCCAGATTTCTTCCTCTTTGGGTCAAAATCCCACCGTCCTGTTAAGAAGCCTGCCAGTGCAGACACGGCTGCAGAGGCCGCCCCCGGGGAGGTCTACTGGGTCAGCCCCACGAAGCTTATGGTCATGTTTGGTGAATTAATTGTGAGCCCAGAGAAAATGTGCAAAGATAATTGATTTCAATCTAGCCAAGGCAGCCTTGAAAGGGAAGAGCCCAGGTGCTTGGCTCTGTGGGGGCTCCCTGGACCCCAGAGTGGGAGCACTGGGGTAAGGAGGGCAGAGGTTGTGGTCCGCTGTAAAGAATGTGGCTTCCAAAAACCTTAGCCAGATTCAAGGAAGAAGAGTACAGCTGTGTGACACAACGTAAGCTTCTATTTATTCTCATTTTGAAGTCTTCAAGCTCATTTCACTGATTGGCTCTTATGCTCTGAATACTTACAGTACCTTGCCCTTTTGAACAGTGTCAGTGAGCTGTAATGACATGCCATACCACTCAACCACGTACAGCAGACCGTTCAGAGCTGTGGCCAGCACAATTCAGAACATTCCATTCACCCCAAAAAGCAGCTCTGCGCCCTCATTCGTTCTCCCAGCCCCCCGGTGGTGCCGCCACCCCACCTGTGGTGACAGGGCTGCCTGGACGCTTGACGGTAATGGAGTCCCATGGGGGCCCCGTGACTGGTTTCTCGCAGCTTCGTGTTGTCAAGGCCTGCCCGCGGAGAGCGCGCAGCGGCGCTGCCCTTAAGGTGGCCAAATGCCACTGCAAGACGACGCCCCTTCTGCTCCCGTGCATCAGCTGATCCCTTCCTGCCACGTGTTCAAGATCATGAGCGAGGCTGCTCTGAACATCTGTGCACAAGTTTTGCTTGGGCAAACGGTTTCATTTCACGAATGCATGCGGTCTAAGAATGGAATTGCTGAGTCATAACTTGTATTTAATTCTGCCGCCAGTCTCAAACTCAGGCTGTGAGTGTCTGTGTCAGAGAACAGTCACCCTGGAGCCCAATCAGACTGCGCCCTGTCTAGCCAGTGGTCCCTAAGGTGGCCCATTCCAGGCTCCTGACACCTGTGTTTACCACAGCCTTCCTGACCCCTGTGGGTGTTCAGCATGTGGGGGGTGAGGGGGCTGCATCTCAGGCTTGGGATGGCCTCGCCCTGTCCCTGCTCCATCCTGCTTCCCTCCCAGCCCGTCAACCAAGACCAGCTTGCAGCCTGGGACACCAGTGTGGGTACCTTGCCTGTAGAGCGCAGCAGCGTAACGAGATGTGTTACTGGTGGTTTGGGAAGAGCAGAAGGTCTGTTTGTCCATCAGCTTCCTGGGAGCAGAGAGAATGAATGTCAAGAGGAGGGAAGGCCCAGACTTAGGTCCTGGCAGGTACGGCCCCTCTGTCCCAGACACCTTCTGAAACCCAAAACCATGAATCTGAGAGCCAGAACCAAGACCAAGAAACAGTCTGTGTGAGCTGCAGGGAGGAGGCTGGGCATGACAAAACCTGAGATGAGCAGTGGCGGGAGCTCTCACTTCCATAGTGGCCAGGGCAGGCCTTGGTTGGAAGAGCCACTTCAAGAAGAAAGGGGCAAGGGGCCGCCACAGGTCCAGCCACTTAAAGGTGGGGGTGGGGTGGGTGCAGAAACAGCAATGGGGCAAGGGCCTAGGTGTCTGGGGCCTCTAGAAGGCAGGCTCTTGTTAGCGTGCAGTGAAGCTCGGGGGCTTGGGGCCTGGGGAACTCACGAGGAGTACGTGCTGGTCTCATCAGCACAGGCGCCATCCACGTTCAGCGCGATCTGCTCCCCCTTGCTGCGGCAATAGTTGGGATTCAGGGTGTCGATGGCCATCTCAAGCTCTACCTAGAGGCACCAAGCACCCCCCCACCAGCTATGAAGACCCTAAGGCACAGAACCAGGGGACAGCCCTGACCCAGCCACAGTCACTTCCTGGCTGGTCCTGGCCCTGCCCAGGACGCGCCTCTTTGGTTGCGTCTCTGTGTGGGGGGAGGGGCTCACGGCGTCTGGCTGCCCCCACACTTTATTCCCCAGAATTTAAATTAAAGGCCATATTTCCAACTTCTCTTTAAAAAGTGGAACCAGCAATATCACAACAGCACTTCTGGGCAGCAGGTGGCAAGAGCTGCCCCAAACGGGCCCCGGCCAGTCCTCCTGAAGATCAGCCAGGAGACTGCCCTTCAAGGCAAAGCTGTTCCCCTAGTCAGTCTGCCCCACATTCGGAGGCCCCATCTTAGCCTGCAAACGTAAGCTCACCCCGACCACATTCTCTAGCTCTTGAGCTGGCCAGACTCTCTCCTTCTGGAAACCCTCTCTCTCAACTGGCAAGGCCCTGAAAACTGCCAGTTCTAACACTCTGAACTCCATCGCTGGGCTTCTAGCCCCAAAGGGCCTGGCCACTCACCCACCAACCCCCACCCATATCATCCCTCTCCTTCCCACCCCCACCAGAGAGCAGCCCCACCTTCTGCTGCTTGGGCTTGATCTTGGCCGAGAGGTGTGGAATGTCATCATAGGTCATCGAAGCTGGACGCACAGGGTACTGTGGAGGGGAAGGGAGCTGTCAGTCTACTCTGCCCAGCCAGGACAGAGCGGGGCTCCAGGGGCTCCAGCCAGGAATCAGCACAGCCCAACCCCAGCAGTGACCAGAGGCCCCAGTGGCCTCCGCCTGCATCCCACCCTCTCTAAAGAGCACTTTCTGGATGTCTGACTTCAAAGGGTCACGCCGGCCAGGCAGGAATCCAACCTAGTGCCTGTCTCATCACCATCCAGCGACCCTGAGCCCTGCTGTGGTCCCGGATAGGACCACTGGCCCACAGGCCACGGAAGGAGGAGCACAGGTGAAACAGAGCACAGGCAGCCAAGAAGGCGGGCACGCGGGGCAGGCACCGCACGCTGCTGAGCCAGATGCTGCCCGTGGGGATCCCGTCCTTTCCTTTTATTATAAAGACTTTCCCAAGATAAAAAAAAAAAACAAAAAAAACAACCCAGAGAGAGCAGGAAGCTGTCTGCACTAAACACCCCAGAACACCCCCGGCATCCTCACGCAGACACATCCCTTTCCCTCTCCCAAGTCAGCGTGCTGCCAGGCAGGCAGAGGAGTGGTGTGTGCCCACTGTGAAGGAGCTGCAGCCATCGCCTCTGGGACAAACCTGGACACAGCAAGCAAACCCTCCTCCGGGGACCGCTGCAGATTAAACACGTGATAGCCCAAGGAAGCGGCTACTCCCTAGCTCACTTAAGCAGCAACACAGTGACCTCTCTGCTCTCTGGCTGAAGCTTGCGGCAGGAACCTGGAGGTCCAGGAATGGTCTGGAGCTCAGCTGGTCTGGTCTGAGTCCTCTGAAAGGCCTGGATGGGGACAGGTCCCTCCACAACAGCCAGGCCCTGGTCAGCAAGGCTGCGAAAGGCCGTGAAGGCGCAGGAGTGCCACTTGCTGCTTGTGAACTAAGGCAGCGCCCAACTGGCCATGCCTCACGGGGCCAGAGAGCAGACAGTGGCAAATGGAGCTGACACCTGGCACAGGGAGGGCCTGGCCGCCCAGGAACTCACCTAGTCACTGTCACCACCACCAGTTCCACCATCATTTTGTGCTCAGTCAAGAAAACAGGTTCAGGAGGCCCAGGTGAGCCGCCCTCGGCCCCACGGCTGGTGAAGACGGTCCTCAGGCGCGCGCCCGAGTGGTGTGGCCGCCCGACTGCCGCCGCCCCAGCCTTGCACATGGCACTGGCCTCCCTATGCCCTGCTTTCTCATATGCCCCACGGGGACAAATGAACCTCATTGCTGGGAGTGTAAAATAGCCTGTCAGTGTCCGTCACTAAACAGAGCTTCATAGGACTGACAATTCTACTCCCAGATGCCCAAGAGATGAAAACATGGGGAATCCATGGGGGTGTTGGCAGCAGCATTATTCACAACAGTGGGAAGGGGGAACAACCTAAACACCCCCAACTGACGTGTGGATGAACAAACACAGGACACAGCTACTCCAGAGGCACTGATGTCTGTAACGGCGACGACGAGCACTGATACATCACACTGGAGAACCCTGAAGCCACTGTGCTAAGTGAAGAAAACCAGGAACCAAAGGCCTCGCAGCGTGCAGTCCCAGCCCGAAGAAATGTTCGAAGAGGCAAATCCACAGAGACAGAAAATAGGTCAGTGGTGGCCTAGGGCTGCAACAAAAAAGTGCTAAAATAGATTGTGGTGCTGGTGGCACAGCCCTGTGAAGACGCAAGGAAGTGGGGGAACCATGTGGGTGTGAATGAACTACACCTTAACAACGCTGTCACACATCACAATCGCCGCCACCAGAGGGCGACTGTGGGATGGAATAAGAGCCACCAGCACCTCAGAAGGCGTCACACAAGCCTCACGCAAGCCAGCTTAGGTGAGCCTGGACACCTGCGGACCATGCCCAGAGACGACTGGGGTGGGGGCAGTGTCAGCCGTGGAGAGCTGGCGCAGGAGCTGCTCTGAAAGCCCCTCTTGGGGACTCAATAACAAGGCCTGGCAGCTCCGGGGTCAGCGTGGCGCACCTTCACAGGGTCTCAGCCGAGCCCCGTGAGGCAGGTGTTGGCACTATCACAGGTGAGGAAAACAGAGGCACAAAGATTAAAAGGCTGGCCCAGGCTGGCGGCCAGTGGCGATAGAGTTGGGTCTCAATGTCTACAGGCTGGCGCCAGAGCGCAGGCTTTGCCATCACACTGGCTACCTCGGGTCCAGCAGGTACAGCGGCGGCCACATCCCAATCTGTGTTGAGGATTCTGTGCAGGCCGATGGCTCCCACACTTCTGGGCCCACTTACTGTTTCTCCTACACCCCAACCAGCACTTGCTTTCCCCCCTTTACCACCAAGCCCCATAATTACCTGAAACAGATAGAGTTTCTCTGCCAGACTTTTGGCCAAGTACACGTCGATCTGGGAAGAAGGGAAGGAGACTTAACCAGGAGACAGAACCCCATGCCCGGCTACCCCGGCACCCACATGCTCCCCCAGTTTCAGGTAGGAGTTAGCACTATCACAAGAGAGGGAAATGAGGCAGCTTGTTGCAGAGGGTTGAGCTAAGAACAAAGGGAACCAAGTCTGCGATCTGGGTCTGTCTGTCTGGGGCGCACTCCCTGCAGTTCCCAGGGGCCCAGGCATGAATCTGCCCAGCCCCCTGCCCAAGTTCACTGAGTGAACCCGAGAAACAGGCACCGTCCCTGGGGCTGCCCACATCAGAGCACATGCTAGAGGCAGACGAAAGGCTCTCCTCTAAGGACGGCGGGGGGGAAGCCTCCCAACACACACCCAAGCTGGGTGGTCTGCAAGCCCCTCCAATCTCCTGTCTATCAGCCTTGCCCCACTCTGAAGCTGTTCACCATCCTGCTTCCTGACTCTTCCAAGCTGTCTCCCCTGCCAGGCATTAAGGGAAGTCTCTCCAGGTTCAGGGGAAGAGTGTGTGAAGGGTATTCAGTGGCAGGAATGGCGCTAGGGTGTGCTGTTGATCCGGAACCGAATTCCCCACCACCTTGTCTAGAGACCCCTTCCTGGTCAATGTCACCCTACCCCACAGACCCTAAGCTCTCCAAGGGGAGAAGAACTGCTGGATGACTGAACCTGGGCAAGCCAGGAAGAAGGGAGCGTTGTCGGATCTATTCATTTACTCGACCAAGGGTCGCTGCATATCACAAGCGCTGGGCTCCGGACTTGGCTTTGCAGACACCGTGATGAACAGAACAAACCCTGCCCCACAGAGCTCACATCCAGTGGGAGGAGTCTCTGTCTAGGGGCTGCTAAAAGCTGTGGTCATGTATAAAGCAAGGCTAAGGTAAGGGGCCAGGGAGTGCTGGGGAGGGTGTGAGCTCAGGGAGCCCCTGACAGAACGGTCTGGATCAGAGACATGAGGAAGTGAGGTGCCAGCCAGGCAGGTATCTGTGGGAAGAGGGTGCCTGGCAGAGGAACAGCTTGGGTTAGGGGTCCCTCAGATGCCAACGGGTTCCGGCTGGCCTGAGGATAGGTGGAAGGAACCCAGTCCCACTGCCTGAGGCTTCTCCCGGCCAGGTAGGGAGCAGCAGTTACCTCCTGTACAACTGGGTCATCCTCTTCATTGGCCATACTAGGGGGGAGCCAGCCGCACAGTCCTGGGACTCAACCTGCAAGGGAGAAGGAGAGGCCTGGTCGTCAGTGGTTCACCAGCACCCAGGGGCTACAAACTATTTTGACTAAAGGAAGATCCAAGGGAGTTAAGAAGAAAACCCGAGAGTAGCAGGCTACCTCAGTGGCTAGGACATGGAAGACTGGATGAAGTCAAAATCCCCAAAAGGACAGTTTTAGGTGCCTGCTACTATCCAGAGGGCAATGGGTGGGGGTGGCCATTTGCGCTGGCTGCCAAGTGCCAGATACACATCCAACACCAATCTTCTCTGCAGCTGGCTCTGAGGAGAACTGAGACTGGGAGCTTCCAGGCCAGCAAGGGAGGAGGAGGCCTGGGAGATTTACAAGACACAGTCATCCTGAGAGGTGGGCTTTCTCTGTGACTACCAAGCTCCCTTGACCTCTCCCCAGACAAAGGGCCTCCCCGAGGGTGGGGCACCCTGGAGCTGGGCTCCTCCCTCTGGTGGTTTATCCACTGGGTTACTGCAGCATTAACACCTCCCTTCAGCCTCCCACCTAACAGTCCCCACCCAGTGGCTTTCCAAATTTTCAGTTTAAGAACCAAGTAAGAAATCTATTTCACAGAAACAACCTAGACAATTACTTTATCTGAAAGGTTTCATGTAGCTGTAACGGTCCCTACTACAGGTGACAGTCAAGTTTTCTACCCTCCCTCATTGACAAAAATGCTGGGCACAAGCCCCCTAACTGACTTCACATCACTAAAACATCAGTTTGAAAGTGCTGCTCCAAAACATCTCTCCATGGACCCTTTCCCAACTCTAATTCTTCCAGAAACACCAGTTGTCCTCGCGAAAAGGCAAAAAGCAGTGAAGTCCAAACTCCTTTCCACAGCCTCAGTGCCCCGCATGATCTTGCTCCTGCCTTTCCCTCGCCAGTCACTTGGAACCACCAGGTCGTTTGCTCAGTGTCCCCCTTCGGCCCTGGAACGTCAGCAACGTGAGGGACTGTTCCCGCAACGTAAAGTGGGATATACTCGCTCCATCGAGTTGTACATGAAGTCACACTGCACTCCCAATAGACCTGCAGTAGCACCTGGTATGACACAGACCACACAGCACAATGTCAGGCGATCACGGGCCCTCTACCCACCTCAGCCCCATGCAGAGGCTGGTGGCCCCATGCTGTGGGCATGGTGGGTGGGCATTTGAGGACAGGGTCTCTGGCCCTGGTGGGGCCAGGCTTCCCAGCCACAAGGCAAGCAGCAGTGAGCACCGGTGAGCCTCAGCAAGGCGGCCATCGGGCACTCTATGGCAGTGGGTCCACGGCCTTGGGCACAGAACTAAACTGGCCTCTTTCCCCAACAGCCTGCTCAAGAAAGGAGAGAGCACAAGGACACCATGTGCAGCCCAGGAGGGTCCGAGGCAGAGAAGGTACTGGAGGCCACAGCTGGGTGAACCATGCTGTGCCCAGGACCGAGCAAAGCAGGGGCAAGCCCAAATAAGCTCCAGCTACTGGAAGAAGTGAGAAGACAACAAACAACGGCGAGTTAAGGGGAGAGAGCACCAGGTCAAAAAGCCTCAAGCCTGGCTCCTAACTGGTTTGTCCCTTGGAGAGAGGATAGCTTCCCTGTCTGGGTCACCTCAGTTTCCACCTCTGGCAAAGGCCAAACAAAGGGACAAGAACTAAAAATCTGTTCCCCTCCCTTCTTTTAACTACATTCACACTTAATCCTCTCAGCAGCAGGGAGTCAACATCTCTCAACCGCAATTAAGAAAGAGGCAAGTGATGCTCAGCGTGTAAGTTATCCGCCCAAGGTCACCGGGCTGAAGAGTGGGGGGGCCAGGAGCAAGCCCTGGGTGCCGCTTCCAGCCAGGAGCTTTACTCCTATTAACCACCGCGCTGCGTCCCTCCTCAATAAAGGAGCAGGGTGGCACGGCGGGTAAGCGCTTGGACTTCCAAGCAGAACTACACGGGTTCAAGTCCCACCGCTGCTGCTTGCTAGCCCGAGCCTACCTTGGCCCCCGTCATTGCTCGCACAACCTCTATTTTCATCCCTGAAGCCCCAGAACAGAAGCTCCCACCCCTGGAGGACTGTGGCGAAGACCCAGTAAAGTGGGGGAGCTTTGTCCCCCGCGATGTTTTTCCCCACGGTAAGAGGCCGGCGGACCGGGCCACGCAGCGAGCCCCCACCCGGGCCGCGCGATCTTTCCCTGGCTTGCGCTGACCCCGACCCGCGGGGCAGGACTCGCGATGCCCATTTCACAGAACAGGAAACTGGCGAGGCGGCGACAAGACCTCGCTGTGCGGGCGCCAACGACTCTAACGCTGACACCACACAACGTCCTCGTTTGTTTACTGCTGGACGGGCCGCGCTCCCGACGCCGGCCCGGACCCGTGGCCAGGGCCTTCCCGGCGGCCCAGGGCTGCTCACACGGGCGCTGGGCGGCTGCGTGAGAAAAACGC